CGAGCAGCATTTACGGTACTTACTAGACAAGTACAAACAGTGTGACAAGAATACTCGTAATCGTGCTGTACTACTTCTACTAGTTTCTATCTCCCCCACCTACGTTTCGATAGTACGGACTCGTAGTACTCACCGTACGTAATGTATCGTCCAGTACCATACTGTATCTTTCGTKTTTACAGTCGTACCGTATCGTATCATTGCGAACGAAATTCGAAAATGGATTTTGATATCTGACTCTGTAGTGTGTTAGTATTCTGTTCGATCAGAACTGGTCGCCGTCTTCTACGATTGAAATTTCAGAGCAGACCGCAAGAGCCTATCTCTGCTGTCTCCAACGGAAGCATACGCTGCGCGATTGGCATCCGCCCACTGTAATCGTACATCAAACCAAGTGCAGAGCTCTTCTATCGGGACGGACAACGGATACAGCATTCCCCAGGAAAGACAGCACAATGGTGCTTTCGAACAGCGATGAACGAATTCAGAAGGTTGTCTTTATCCGGCACGGCATAGCCCGACACAACCTTCCCGATCCATCGACGGGGCGGCCGTGCGACCTGAGAGACCCCCGTCTCCTGGATCCTCCGTTGGTTTACCAGGGAAAGCAGCAAGCACTCTACGCGGGCTACAGACTCAAGGAATGGTGGCGAGCGACGCAGCCGGGGGACAACGTGAAATTGGTAATAACATCCGTAAGTATCATATCCTACGACGACGARTGGCGACAAATTCGCCTTSTTTGGTGCCACCGTTCGGATTGTTTTGGAAACCGCTGCTGTCGATGGTCGGCAAATGATGCACAAAGAATGATTCCCAAACTTGCTAGTGTACCCATCTTACAAACATGCCAAAAAATACCCAGCCTTTGACACGGTGTATTCAGACATCCACCCTGGCCTTCTTGCCGGGGGACGGATATACGTCTTCCGAGCAACCACACGAGCCGTCGTTTTTTTGCACGGATCTCTGTCGAGAAGCTTTCGGAATGCACTATCCGGACAGACGAAGAAAACGGTCGTTGCTGATGGTAAGCGCTCGAACTGAATGGACCAAGCATCGTAGGTTGTACAGAGCAGAGAGTATGCTCCTCGGACAATTTATATATCTTCATTGATGCTTACAAAAATTACAAATGCTGTGTGTGTGCGGAACACAAAAAAAGAAATATTGGCCGATCCTACAAATGGATCCTGCGATGATGGAGGCGGACGAAAGCTGGCGAAGCGACACGCGGGAGACGCTGGTAGACCTCGGGATCCGGATTTCTCTCTTTCTGAACCTATTGGCGAGCCGTCCCGAAAGCAGCATCGGAGTGGTGACGCACGGGGTGTGGCTGGAGGASTGCTTTCGGCTTCACTGTCCGGCTGTTCTGGACCACGGGAGAAAACGGGTCCACAACTGCGACACGTTTGTGCTGGAGTGCGTGTCACGCGAAAGAGAGTTTTTACGACTCCAGAATCCCCTCCAAATTACCTGAATGCTATGCATGTATGTTTCTACTTGGTCGTTGGACGSCTCTGGCACTCCAAGCCAATTTCACGCCGTTTCATCTCCCCTTACCAACATCYCTCCCAAAATGCAATGATTGATTTTGTGGTATCCTTTCCTTTRCGATTGCGTGTTGCATGTTTTGCGCCGCTGTCTTTCCTCCTTTCACGGAGATTGTTAGAAACATTAGACACACGCAATCTCATGATGGACTTTTCTAGTATTAAAGCAAGTTTTGTTACATTGGAGTGTTGCAGTTTATGATTCCGTGATTTTGTTTCATTTTTTTTTGGCGAGGAGCCCTTTCGCCCTTGCTTCTTCGCCTGCTTCRTACACTAGTTTTACGAGGTATCTGTTGAGATCCTCTTGTTTTCCCGCGTGGCGCATCCTTTCCCATGTTCGCTCGAGGGWTGTTTCTCTTTCGCTCTTTGGATACGTAGAGTCACTCTCGTCGTCTTCCTCGGCGCCACACGCAAACCCCCATGTTTTTTTTGTTTTATGAATCCACGCCGCCTTTTGCATTCGGTGGTTGTCACCGCCGTTGTTCTCTTTCAGTCCAAAATACGCCGCAAAAGTGTCGACACATTCGTCCCGGAGTTCTTTGTGCGTGTTTGTCCCGCTAATTCCACTCGGCACATCGAGTTTTATCTGGCTCTTGATCGCCCACAAATCTGCCAGCAGGGGTGGTTGCCCTCGCGTTTGGGAAGAAACCATAAAGCTCATGGCAATGTCTTCGCAATTGAAATTCTTTGCCACGGTATCGAGAATTGTTTGCGGCAATCCCTTAGTGTATCGAGCCATGTAATCTTTATGTAAGAAGCAGTACCGGGTCAAGGATAGGCTGTACCTGTTTTCTTTCTTTGTGGTGCTTAGGTACCCGTACTTCCAGGATCCGTCATCGTTCTCGACGTGGGTTCTGGCATCGAATCCGACCATGCGATGCGGCGACCGGACCCACTTGAAAAATCCCGAATCGATCGCGTCGCAGGGACGGAGAACGTCGTCATCGATGCTTAAAATGCCCAGCGTCGGCGTCTCAATCAGAACGTTAAACCGTTCGTTTAATGAATTTTCTTCGTGGTGTTCGATAACCACTTTCGCGGCAACCGATCTGTCCGATGAAMCGTCACTTTGCTCGTCTTCATCTCTGGTCATATCCACGAGTTCTCTTGGTGGATCGTTTTCCTTATCGCACCAAACGATCTGGATTTGTTTGGCTCCAGGGCACGATGCGTGGTGCCTGACGGATTCGATCAATTGCTCGGGTCGACGCCAGGTATTTATTCGAACCGTGTATTGTTCACGGTCGATCGGCCGAAGCTTCGCCAGCGAGTTGTGGCTATTAGTGCTGGGTCCTCCACTCGGCACCAATTGTTCCTTGCGTACGGGTCTGCCGACCCCAACGCTTTCGGTTGGTGGTAAAACTMCGTGGGGCACTTYGGTGCTTGTTTTGTCTTCTCCAGCACCGAAATTCTCGATCGACACCTTGAACAGATACAGATACGCAATGATAATTGCGAAAAACCCCAAGCCGATCTTTCGAGTCATCGGAAACGACGAACTCGAATGGTTTCTCTTCGCAGCTATTCTGCTGTCACACTTGTGATTTCCTGGTTGTCTCTCGTTTCGGCAATTATCGATGTTGTTGCTGTTCGTGTCGCCTATGGTGCTTATCCGACTGCTGTGTCTAAACCTATTGATACTTTTCACATCCATCATTTACATGGGTTCTAGTTCCAATTCCATACGGTCGCTGCACCATACTGCCGTGCATGGTTTTCCTTTCTTGGCTTTCGTCAGAGAGAATCTCATACAACAGTTCGCGTCCAGGTTTGTCCGTGTCGTTTGATTCCTAGCCTGTAGTACTACTGGTATTAGTATGCGTGCCAGTAAGTTCCGGCGGTTAAAATTTAAATTATATTTCGAATCGTGAACTATTGGTACGAACTGGTTCAGTTTGTACGTGAAGCCCTCGGTTTCATACTCGTACTTCGTTACCGGTACCGTAGGCAAAAGTTTTCGTATCGCCCTTCTAACGCAAGGGTTGGGGAGTTGGAAACGAGGCTTGAGGAGAAGAGACACTAACAACTTCAATAGCAGGATGAAAATATTGTTTGTTAATCCGACTCWTCTTACTAGTTGTTGATCCCATCAGAACAATACAAACAATATTTTGGATAAGAGGAGCTACTACTAGGAGCAGCAATACCACCAGCAGTATTACTAGCTACTAGTAGTAGGTATGGCTCATCATTAAGGCTAGGATGAGATTGAAAGTCATTCCTCTACCAGCACGTACCTGATAGTAAATGCTTTGCAGAATGTGCTAGCTCAACGATGACTACGAGGCTGCGATCGCAACAACATTCGAACAAAACACTACCAACCAACAACAGACGAAAAAAAACATAAAATCTTCTGGCATGAACACAGCACATCTACAATGATGCTATGTGATAGCATGTGAACCAAACACTTCCAACCTACTTGCACTTTTTTTTTGCAGTGACATGGGACAGGACGAACAGCGTGCCGAATGTACCGTAAGGTAGGCAGAGCCGATTCATTCGGAACATCATGGGGATCATTTTTGAATGTCCAGAGAAGGCATGATGTTTGTTTGTTCGTTCGCTCACACGTTCGTTTGTTTGTTGTTCCAGACTATGATATCGACTTCTTTGGATCCTCATCCCCATCCTCRCTTTCATTGAGRTGGATTTTTTTGCAATTTTGTCGACACTGCGATACCTGCTCATCCTCTGCTCGGGACTCCCAGGCTCGTTTCTTTCCGTCGGAAAGATTTTCCCATCGATCTTTCAAAACCTCGTCGATTGATTCGTTTGCGTTTTTRCTTTTCTTCGCCGATTCATGGTGTTCTGGCCAAGCATTAGTCAGTGGATACGTACATTTGCAAGCTGGTCAGAGTCACAGCGGTGCATGGACAAGGCAACAACGAACCCCCCGTTAAAACCAACCCTCTGTTGAAGGGCTTGAGAATTCCCTCGCAATTTTGATTCTATTCCATAACTGCACCGTACCTTGAAAAAATAGTGAGTATCCCGAACACTGGGCTTTCGAATCGGGKGTGCGGGAACGCTTCCTCGTTTTGGAGTGTTTTCGTTGTGCTACGTACAATCCATGAAAAAAGAAAAATCCGATGGAAACCAACCATGCGTGAGTTTCGGTTCTCTCCTAAGCTGACAAAATGGGTCCAAGAGTCACGACATGCCACATCAACGGTCAGAACCTGCCCCGGAATCCGTTCCAGCGCAGCAAATTCGATGCTCACCTTCGAGACTGTTCGCTTCGATAATAGCCGCCGTAGTTCGCAAGCTCTGAGCTCTGTCTTCGGCCTGTTTTGCTTCGCATCGAAGAAAAGTAATGAAAGCTTTTGCTGCATCACTCATTRTGTAAATCTTTAGCGACAATTGATAAAACGAACGACATTGCGTTGTAGCGGCGTTTTTTTCTTTAAGATACTATTCACATCATCGATGATGCCACGATCCGTCACTACAGCGTCCTCTCACGTAATAATACCGTGCCATTACTGTTACCAGTGCGAATCATACGGTACGGTAGGTCTTACGTGCCTAACCATCGAGGTTCCACCATATCAGGTAGCGTACGGTACGAAGGTGCAATACCTAGTAAATTGCCAGTTACGTACGAGTTCTGAGTACTGTACGTGCATTCCTTGTTGTGATCATACGTCATCCAGATACGATACGTACGTTTGTAGGATATAATTAGTATACTCTTGCTTGATGTACCAGAATCTACCAGAAGGACTACTGTAAAGGGAGAGCCCAGACGTTTCGTTCGTTAAAATTTGTRCTGGGAATCAAAATTCTGCCTGGTTTTCGATGGTCCCGCTACTGGACGAACGAGTACGTTCGGTACTGGTACTTACGAGTAAGAGTACAAGTTACCACTGTGGCAACCACAACCGTTATCAATTCAAAAGGAGTACCGTACGAGAAGGATACGAGTACGAGTACCATACAGATTCTAACACAACAGTAAACCGAAGATGATGAAAGATCCCATTTGGTGCAAGTAAGCGTACCCGATTGTTTTACCTTTTCCAAAGCCATATCTCTCTAAAGTCCAAAGACAYTATGGAAGAGCAGAGAGCAAGCATCGGGACCTATCATGTAAGCACAAACTCAAAAATAAGTAGCAACGTTCCCGACAATACAAAGCGCCGTCTTTGGCTTAGCCCCGAGGAATTTACGAAACTGACAAGTAACGAAACGATCACGAGTGACGCCGATGGCAATAGTAATAATGCGAACGGAAGACGAACGGCAACCGATTCCTACGATACTAYATTCCGGAAATTCTCCTCCAAGCCGCCCCGCAAGTCTCTAGCCGTTTTCCTGTCAAACAGTGTAGGTCTTCTTCAGGAATTTGTACTGACATGTCTTTTGCTTGCCGGACACCGGGCAGCTCGACTGGAAGAGCTTGGSTATAACAAACGACAGCGGGGGAGGTCGGGCGTTCCATCTTTTATCGATGTCAACATCCAGTCGAGCCGACTGCTCACGTCRCTAGGGTTGATTTGGCTCACACTGGTCATAGCCGTYATCCAGAACAAATTCGAAAATTCAAAGCGATACACAGTACGGCACAGAATCACCGATTTCGTSTTGATGGCGGTTCTCCTGAGATTCTTGTCCGCCGTTCTTAAGACCCTAACGGCGTCATACTCTTCGGATACGGTGTATGCCTTGTCGACTGTGAGCCTGTTCCTGCACCTGCTAGCATGCGATTACGATTACGCCAATGGGCTGAACAGTGCTGGCGAAGGCAATGGTGAAGGCGAAGAAAACGAGGAAAACAAAGATCCAACCAGTTACAGCGAGAAGAATCTAGATCGGCCGACTTTCAAGGGTGGAATGGTGTCGCTTACCTCCGCATTCTTTGCAACAACGCTGCTTGCAAGCCGATTAGAGAACAACGCAGCGGTCTACTTGTTTGTTTGCTTCTCGGTGGTGCTATTTGCACTATACCCGGCCGCTCGCCACCTGGTGGCCGTGAAGGCAAGACGCGTCGGGAAATGGGGTAAGTACGATTCGAGCGATGAACTGCTGCTCGGTATGATTCACTTTGGTTTGTGCGTTGGTGCTTCGYGAACGTTTCGAGATTAAATGATTGTTCATTCCTTGAATTTTTTCTCATTACGTTTTCATTGTGAAAAAATCCGGAATTCTACCGYATGTTTRTAGTACCATTGTTTGTTTCTGGGATTCTGACTTACGCATTAATCCTCCTGTTGGAGCCGGGAGAGACCATTGTGGTTCTGGYCATCACCTCCTTTATAGGTATTTTTGTCCCCATATGGAAATATTATCTACAATCCTTTAAAATCAGGCTAAGAGGACCTTGGGATATAGCTCATATATAACTAGGATTACAATGTTATTA